GTTTACACTTTTGTAAATGCCTTTGCTTCCCTTCTCCCCAAATATGTAAGATCCTCCCGGTTCAGGTAGGGACGCAATTGGTGCACCAGGCGAACCTGGACAAATTCCCCCCTGGTCACAGCCGACAAATGGTGATCTAAGGTCAGCTGTGGGTCCAGGAGGAGTCCCAAATTGCGAACCCTGTCTGAGGGGTGTATAATTTCACCCCCCCCCCAGCCTGAGAGATGGAATACCTTGCCAATTTGTGGGAGGAAAAAACACAAGTCACTCGGTCTTGTCAGGGTTGAGAGCCAGCTTGTTAACCCCCATCCAGACCCTCACATCCTCCAGACACTGATACATCACGTCAACTGCTTTATGAAAACAGAACATGATTTCAGTGTATCAGAATAAAAAATTGAGAGTAATACCACAACATATCTGCATGTTTACACTTGATAGCAATTACCTTAAGCTCATGGGACAGAACTAAGTTGCTCATTTCATTTGCTTTCTGTCGAAACTCATGCTCTCTTTTTTTAATTTCTGTGTCAATTTCTACAAGAAGTTCCTGAAATAAAACACATACAATTGTAATAATATTGTAATATCATAAAATAATACAAAATAAATAACTTTTAAGGGCTTACAAATTGTTTTTTATTTACAATATACATTGAATATATGGAGATGTTTTTGTAAACTAGCACTACTAGTCTTTTCAGCTTCAACAAGCTGAGGGTTTTTTTGGGGTGTGCATGACTGTTTGGGCTCCAATGTACCATAGTAGAAGGAAAAAAAAGACACTGTATGTCATATTGCTATTTTATTTATGCTGCTCTACTATAATTCTATCAATTAGTTGTATATTTCAAAAATATTACTATTTCTATGTATGTGGCTATATCCCTGTTCTTTGGGTTTTGTTATTCATCCATGTTCGCCAGGTTTATAGTTGTTTACTATATTTATTATTTGAAAAAACTATAAATGATTCTTTGAGATATATTTATATACACACTATAACAAGGTTCTTGCAATCAAATGACAGAAAACAGTATACAGTAAAGAAACATGTCAGTTAATACTTAAAATGCCTTGTTAGCCAACAGATCTTTTTAATGTTACAAAACTGCAATCCTGAAATCAGAGAAGGAGTAGGTGTTGGCACTGGCCAGAGTGTTTATTTAGCCCTTGCAAACTGTTTTTGATTTATAGTAATGACCTTCCTGAAATTCAAGGTTGGCAAATTTAGCACAGCGTTTTGGCTGTACCCCTCTGTAAAGTATTTTACACCATCTTGTTTTACTAGAAACAATTTTACCAATTTTTTTCAAGAGGATGATGCCATGTTAGGAAGTAAAGCACATATTCCCTAATATATAGAATGATGCTGGCTGGGAAATTCTGGGAATTGAAGTCCGGACATCTTCAAGTTGCCAAGGTTGAGAAACACTGGAATAGACTATTCCCACCTCTATGTAAATCTTTATTTAATGTAAGATGTTTAATAAAATCACATAAATTGAATTGCAGGGGAATAGACTAGAAGGAGGGTAATACTCAGAACAATGAACACATTCTTTTTGTTTACTGAAAGGAAAATATAAATGTTTCCCTATTCAAATTGTTTGTTATGCCTTCTGTACCTGTCTTTGCAAAGCAAGTTCACCATCGACTTCCTGGAGCTTTCTCTCCAATTGTTCTTTCATATTTTCATATTCCTCATGACAATGGCTGATGTCAGCATCTTTGGAACTATGAAATCAAGGAATTAGTAATATAAATAAAGAGCAAATACCGATCTGTCAGAAATATATTTCTCTTTCCATTCCAGTGTAATGTCTACATGAAACTATTGGGTGAGGCCATCTGTCAGTACAGGGTTTAAGTATTATCAGTATGCTGATAATAAACAACTATATATTTGTGCCCTAGTTCATCTAAGTGATGCTGTCAAGTTTTTCCCCCCCAATGTCTAAAGATTGATAGGATCTTAGTGGGAAGGAACAGTCTTTAACCAAGTGGCTGTGACTTTCCATTGGCACTGGAGACCTTCTCTCTTTATCGCGGGATGAAATGCCACTCCCTAATACAAACGAATGGGTGTGCAATCTGTGAATTTTCGCTGGCAGCTGTGGCCAGCTGGTATTTGCAAATCTATTTGTATCCAGTTTTGTTTTTTTTTCTGGATCAGGAGGTATATTTATAGTCACTTATGCCTTATTCACTTCCCAGTTGGACTACAGCATGTGTATAAGGGTTCCCTTGAAGATCATTTGGAAGATGCAGCTAGTCCAGAACACATTATGAGCAATTTTGGATGCACCACAATATACCCACATAAGATCACTGCTAAATGAATGCACTAGAACTAGATCCTAGCAGTTTTGTAAATATAAATAATGGTGCTGAATACCACTTATACAGCTTTATATGATGTAGGCCAGGGTACTTGACCCACCATCTGTTTCTAATTGTTTCTGCTATCCCACCAAATCTCATGGGATGGACATGCTCCATTCTGTAAAACAATGTCATCTTTTGTGACATAGGATGCATGCCTTCTCTGTTACAGATGATATGTAAATGCAGCCCTCTACACTTTATTCTTTAGTTTGGAATGAGAATTTGGTTAATATATTCAAGTATTGAGGTCATATATAAGCTACAGGTTGCCACTGGCTAGCTCATCCCTATGCTAGAATGCATTTTGTTATCTGCTATGGTCTTATTTGTAAAACATGTGCAATCTAGTCAGTCACTAACTGTTGGATCTCTTTTCCTGTGGTTCTAACAACATAAGTTATATAGCAACTAACTCAAAAGTTACCATTTTAGGAATGTAAAGTCTACATCCATTTTGTACAGGAAGGTTTCATAATTTCTGCTACCGCTACCCAGTGACAAAAAGAACACCAACATAAAATAGACTTTCCTCCATGTTCCCATCCACATAAGAATTTGAACCTCACAATCATGCTGACTGCTTGTTGTTCTATCTTCTTGTAGTTCCCACCATTTCACATCTTCCTGCAATATGGGTATGCAATACACATAAGCTACCTAATGGAGCACAGAAAAGCCAGCATGATCAATTGCTGTTAGAAAGCAGTGAGTTCTATAAAAGAGGACTTGTTTTTCTCAGCCTATCTATAGCCCCATTTCTCTTTTTTTTTGGGGGGGGGGAAGAACTGATAAGAGAGGACTAGGCAACTGCCACACTTGGAAATGAATTATGTATTATGTTTGTGTGATGTGAGACTGGAGAACAACTAGGGGAGTTGGGATTAAAGCTTCTTTTACTTAGCCTCATGGATAACTGGCTTTAGATAATCACATGACATACTCCAGTCATAATTCAGTTAAATTGATATGAAATTAATAATAGTTTATGGTCCTTTGTAGCAGTAATGAATGAATTATTCTTACTATATATAGATGTATGTATATATATGTATGTATGCGTGTGTGTGTATGTATGTATGTATGTATGTATGTATGTATCTATCTATCTATCTATCTATCTATCTATCTATCTATCTATCTATCTATCTATC